GAGGAGAGACGAAACGTTTCATTAGAGAAGAACCCGTCCAGAAGACCTATACAATTATTTTCTTTTTGATCACTTGGGTTGTTACCGACATCTGGTGAAAATTTCATGTCATTAGCACCTCTAGTAATATATTTACTGAGAAAAATGGTGACGTGTTCAATACTAATTTTACCCGCTGTATGTTAAATGTACTGTAAATAACAGTGTGCTCTTTTTTCAATTTGTGCTCATCTCAAATCTTGATGGCACACATGCAGCTGAACTTCCAAACTATTTAAAAAATATATTTTAAAATTTCACCTATATACTGCACAGTTCAAATAAACATAGCTGCAAAAATATTCTTCATTTGAACTATACTTTTCCATTTTTTAAATTTGGTCCATTTGATTTGCTGTGAGTGTGAAAAAAACATGTCTTGTTGTCTTTGTTAATACGGAATGAGTGAAATGAATTAATGGGTCCCACTTTATAAATAACATGTATTAAACTTTAGATTCTGGGTCAAATATCAAGTCTTTTCAAGTAAACAGGGTCATGTCCAATTCAAAGTCCCAAATCATTGGTGTAAAAGTCCAATTCAAGTCATAAGTCTCTGAACATTTTTTCAAGTCCAGTCTAAAGTCAGAATATCAAGTCCAAGTCACGTGACTCGGGTTCACAGCTCTGGTAGCTAATCTGCATCTACATAATCACCGTCAAGCTTTTCTGTCGTCATTGTAATTTATTGTACAGATCAACAAATTTAACATAACTTATGTCAAATAAAATAAAATTCCTTTTTAGAATAATTGTAATTGTGTTAAGAGTTTCTGTGACGTTTCCTTACATTTTACAGTAGATGTGAGAAGTAGTGATAATGTCAGCGGAAGGAACAAAACTTATATTTAGCTTTTCTTTATTAGGTCTAAAAAGTCTCTGGTTAAAAATGCTAAATGTGTTCTTGCAGTGAGTTTAAACATGCTGGCACGGTTAAAAAAAGATCAGTGTTGGAGGTTTGTGCATTTTTATCTTCTCTTCCTGTGTGAGTAAGAGCTGTGGCTTTGGCTCAGCCAGGTGTGCTTTGAGTCTCGTTTGAAATGTGAACACTGACTTTACGTCTGACAAAAACCTTTGCATCAGAGGTTAAATAGGTTAATTACACGTATTCTCTAAACTAATGTTAATAAAGCTTGTGTGAAATAAATACATTTCTTATTTATTCTGCCATGCATAATTTAATTTCTGAGGTATTTTATGCAAACATGTAGACATCATCTGTGTATTCTAATTTGATGACCATAACTTTCAAAACCACTGATGAAAACAGTGAAGGCTGAGGTCACTATGTGCAGGATGCAGCTGTTCTTCTCTAAAAAAAAATAAAATACAGAAAATTTAGTTGAAAATTATGTTTTTAAAAATAATGAAGAACCAATTTGAAAACACTTTAATCAAGTTTGAATAATTGCAAAGCGTCTTAAAGCCCAGCTCGTCTCACATCTTGCTTGCCAGATCTAACCTGCATCGGGGCACACGTGACTCGTAAAGAAAGCCACATGCCGAGCTGAAGTCCAACCGCCTCGGTTACTGTGGCCTGCTTACAAAGTTTATCTGAAATCTCCAGCACATCAAAACACAGTGAAATAAAGGGTTCGTGTCTGCCACCCTAACTGCCAAACATGACCAATTACTGTCAGCGACTTAACTTCTAACTTCTAAGTTCTGATAAGAAGCTGTAAATCAGGGGTGTCCAGTGTGGCCCGGGGGCTATTTGTGGCCCCTGACTTCAGTTCAAGAATTATACTAATC